ACGGGATTGTACTCTAACATGTTCTAGTTCCGAGGTAATGCTTAAAGCAGCAGTTCTCTCCATAACAGCATGCATTTCGGGAAGAATCATTTTTCGAGTGATTATCGTTTTGAGCAAATCAAACGCTGTGTTTCTCAGTATTATGCATATCTTGTTCAGCATACATGACATCAAGGCCTTCAATTGGTCAGTATTAATTACATAGTGTTTCACGAACAATTACGGACATACACTTAAAACCAGCCATCACCAAATCGAAATTATCTTTACTTGGGCCGGCTGCAGCATATTTATACAAGATATTGAAAAATAAATGAACAAATATCAGAAATTGTTTCTTGTTGAAAATTGAAACTAAATCCATTTTGAGCAACCAATTTAAGCACTGTAAAGCCAAGGTACTTAGCTGGAGAAATATAATACATATTAATATTAATATAAACATATTAATATTAATAATTAATTACAAATGTTATTTGCGATAAGAAAAAAATAAATTTACCTTACGGTTTTATGCACTCACTTATAAATGGTACAAACGGATCTATCAAGGACTTAGTCTTGATAGATCCGTTTGCATTAGATATTTTGTCTCTTCTTAATAGAATATGGAAAAGTTTCAAACCAAATTCTATAATAACGTCAACATTGGTGTTTTTTTGATGTTTTTGAAGTAGCTTTTATGCCCATTTTATTTTTTGGTTTTGGAGGTATGATAAAGCAATCTAGTTTCTGTCTCTAGTTAATATTTCTGCTTTCTTTTCTGTTAATTCTTTAGCATTCTTCTCGGGAATACTTTGAGAAACTACACCATAAAGGAATATTAACATTTTCTCCAATGGTATAAATGTATTATCAGCTAAACCTAATATTATATTCCTAAAACATTGGACAACTTTTTGTATAGTTTTATGCAAATGACTTTTCATAAGCACTCCTTTCAATGGCAAAATTAAATCTACTAAACATGATTCAGTAATATATTGTGCTAATATATGAAATATGTCGAAACTTTTGTAGATTTTGTTTCTGATACATGTTTTACTATTTCTATTACTTCTTTCTCTTTTGCTGTTAACTCAAATAGATTCACTTTACATACCTAGTTATAGTTAAATAGGAGGGTATTAACATTAAAAATATATTAATTTACTAGTAAGTATAAAATTGAGATTTTAATATATATTTATGATATTACTCACAGACAAAATACTTTGAAGATTTTCATTGATATCAAATTTCTGAAAATGTGGTTTCAGAGCAACTAACACTGACTGTACCGTAAATGCAAGAACATGAACTTGAAAATTTCTTTTAGAAGATGATAAAGATACTTCGGACCCAAAGTTATCATAATTTTTTGTAAATATAATATTTCTCGAGTGACGCGTCGTACAGATTCCAAGCGAGATTTCAAGAATGTACATAACTTCATAAAGATTCTGAAACAATTAATTACAGTACTTTAATGATTTATTCTAATTTCACATGAAAGTACATATGTTATATACTTACCCTGGTAAATTAATATTTAAAATATGTTCAGGTAATTTTTGTAATAATTTAACAAAATCAAGACTCCTCTTCCTCATTATCCATTGCAACTCTTTTTTTTACTAATCTTGTGACTACTTTCGCGACTTGTTGCTATAATAGAACAATGGAGTTGTGGTAACAATTCTTTGGATATACTAAACACAACTCGTCGTGCTCCGTTCTATGAAAGAATGATCTGTTTTTTCATTACAAGTACTTCTTCCTGAATCTCATTTTGTACTTTTTCTACAGTTTCTTCCACGGTATCTATATTTTCAGAATTCAAAGCTTCGTCTAGTTTTTTCTTCTACTTCTATTTCATTGGTCTTATCATCGCTTTTTTGCGTCACTTTCTTCATCAACATTTCCATCTTCTTTGCCACCGGAAATCATTTTTCTTTCAGAGATTTCTTTGATCTCCTTTGGCACTAAAAATTCCTCTGCAGATTTATACTTTGATAAATCAAAATGAAAAGAATCTAAAATGCTA